TCTGGAAAACGAATTTTCGTCATCCCACAGGTGAATTGTTTGCTTCCGTGCCACTTTTTTGAAACCCTATTTAACATTATTTAAATACAAGCAATTATAGGTGAATCTTTTAGTTTAGTTGGAAATCTTCTAACTTCCGTTGTTGAACGGTCAAACAGTGCTATGCAGAGAAACAGGCTCTTGGGGAAGTGAGTTCTGAGCTTTTAGACACTCAAGTCAATCCAGCAATTTGGGAAATTAGTGGACATATGGTACTCAAAAGGAAGGAGGACTATGAGGAGGCGTCGGAGGAAAATGCATGGAGGCTCCTAGCCGAGGTTTCCCTGTCTGAAGAGAGGCTCCATGAGGTGAAGGAGCTTCTCTTTGAAGCCATTTCTTGCAGTATGGAGGAGGACAACGGTTTTACCAAAAACATCCTCGAGGATTCAGACATTGGCCTCAATCTCTCGAAGATGTGGACTCCCTTAAAGGCTCCCACCCTGCTATAGTATCTGTGTAGCAGAAATAAATGTTGTGTTCTGAGCACTGAGTGGACTTTGTAGTCAAGATCTCATTCCTGCTTTTTATTTGTTATCTTATGCGTGCCTAATGTCAGATTTTCTATGGTTTCCCCTGTGGATATTCCTAAATAATGCAAACTTCGTTTGCTCTGTTGTTGGAACATGTCTGTAATTTTATGTAGTGGCTTTGTTAAGCCCAGTTGTGTGTGTAATCCGTTTAATATGTAATGAAACCTTTGTTCTAGACCTCTCAATCTTGTGTACTCCAAAACGTTCTTATCCTGAGATGAGGCTTTTCCTGTAGAGCTTATGCGTATATCTTCGGTCTCTAATGGTCGTGAAATGTTATAAATGTTTGGTTTTAGACGACTAGATCAATTCTTATGATCTACCTGTCTGGTAGGAGTCATTATTCATTTATTCCATCGCTTGCCGTTACTGCTGAAACTGGTTCTTTCTTTTTTTTTTTTTTCTTTTTTTCTTTTTTCCTTCTTTTTTTCATATATCTTTTTTAGAAGAAAAAGCATGTGTTGGCGACCAAAGGGACCTTATTTCTTCAACAAATTTAAGTCGTAAAAATATTGACTTCAAAAAATGCAAGTTCATTAGTATTTGTTTGTATCTTAAGTCGAAGGAGATATCAGTAAAGAACCTATTAGTATTTCTATTTACCTTATAATAGATTGAGTATAATTAAATTGATAATGAATGTGATCTCTCCTAATATGATATGAAGAGAGTTGACATAAACAGGAAAGCTAAAAAGAAATTCAATGAAATTTGTCACAAAGCATTTATTTAATCTATTCCATGACCGGAACAGACAAGGATATATGTCATACCACGATTTTGAATCGGCTTCTTAAAGCATTTTAGAGGATAGTAATTCTCATAGATTAATGCTATCTAACACTATTGGTGCTAGAGCACTAAGCACCAGTTTATGTGACTTTATGTTATAAATTCAATTAAATGTAAAATTATTTATTCATTTAATTATACACTTCATTTAATGACATTTGGATCAGTGTTGTAATAATGTGATGCTAAATAGCATTACTTATCCCCAAAATAGCATTACTTATTCTCAAATGGTTTACATACACAAAATGAACCAATATCCAAGTATTCACAAGTTTGAAATAGAGAGAGCATTCGAGTCCAAGCAAAACTTACTAGATATGTCATTTGCGGTTAATTTGTATAGAGACTTGTATAAAGAATCAAAATAAGACTGTAAATCTACTCGACTTTGAAGATGTTAAATGATATTGATCAAATCAACATTGTTACATATTGGCGACAGGAAAAAGAAGCACATTCTCACTCCTAATTTATTATCTTCAGGAAGTCCCAAATAATATGTTTGCTGACGGGAAGTACATGATTTCTGATATTACATAAGTTCTTCACAAATTTAATATCATTCACTTTTTAAACTGAATTTTGATGAATATTAGCTTTCCTCCCAAGAACAAACTGATGGGAGCAAGTTTGCTGCTAGTCATGGAAGAAATTAACAAAGAAACCATTGCCTAATCCAATAGCAACAACCCTTCTAATAGTAACATTTTCCACTGCAAAAAGTATCTTTGGTCCAATTCCACAAGAATTTTGAGACATTAAAATTTTCATGAAACTCCAAAATATTAAACATAATAGACAACCCCAAAACAAATAATTAGACCTGCACCTCCAAATTACTTAGACACAATAAGGAGAGCAATTAGACATGTAAAACTCATCAAACATCCACACAATTCTTCATAGAGAATTGTTCTACAATTTAATTTCAAAAATATGAAGTCAAACTTTAAGACAAAAAATATTTCCTCTGCAAAATACACTTTATGAACCCTAACCTACATATCAATTTTATGATTACCAGTACACAACAGTATGCAAGTTGGACTTTTTTTTAAAAAAAAAAAAAAAAATCAACACTGTACACATGTACAATTAACAGCACAAACGACAGATCATGCACGACTGATTGCAGAAAGAATGAAACACAAGCTTTCTCACTAATGTGATGCTGTCAAATATGTTGTACCTGTAGCACCCCTCCAAAAGTATAGCACCATAGGTTGATGAACAAAAGATGACCTACACCAAAAGTCTAATAAAAAATTTCAAGTCATCAAGTAAATAGAAACATATGGCGCACATAGCCATTGTTGCAAATACGGCTAATTTTTTTTTTCTTTCAACTATAGAATCTATTGCAATATCTTATATCTTACACCATAGAAAGTATCAGAGACGCCCTCAGGGCATATCTCCCAGTGGCAAAGATGAGGGCGGATAGGGCTCAGCGCGGCCGTGTGCAGAGTTCGATTCCCCGCAAGGTGGAATTGAATTTGTTGCAAGCGGGAGTTACCATATGGGTTAACAGCCTTGATCTATCCATGTGCTCTCCACCCTGGCTCCTGGGAGGCACATCCTGCGATTTACCTCCTTCACGAAGGTCCAGGATAGGGTCGATGGGGGCCCTAAGGGTTGGGGTTCAACTTTTAAGTATCAGAGAATTCGGTAGGGGCCTACATCCTGCGCCCAATATATCTAAGCAACTTTCAGCCCTGCAACTTGTGCATACTGAAAGGGAAAAGCAGGTCAATTCACGCATCTTCCGCAGAGTACCAGAAAAGCCCTATGAGCTAGTTGAAAATTCTATGAAAGTAATAAGTTCAAAACGTATCCCAAAAAAAAAAAAAAAAAAAAGAGAGAGGGGGGGGGGGGGAGAGAGATAAAAAAAAAAAGAGAGAGAGAGAGAGAGAGATTAATATCTGTCCCTTTACTGATTAAGGTGGAGGGAGACATTGTGTATTTGTTATTGATATCAAGATAGACATATCTCAAAAGGCTAGCGGTTAAAGTAGGAGAGTACAAGTCTATATAAATCACACATCAAAAGCCATACTTTCGATGTGGAATCCAAGTCCCATACTTTGCAATGGTGACATTTTTCTCTATTGCTTTCTCGTAACTGTTTTTTCTGCTACACTTTTGGCCAGCGAGACTTGGATTTCAACGTGAATGGCAAATCGAATTGAGGGTATTCCTGACCTTTTGCCTTTTTCCTATAGTTTGGATTTTTTTCCATCCAAAGAAATAGGGCAATATTGGGCTTTACAATTATTTATATTTACTTTTATACTATTTTTCATTTTTTTAAATATGATTCAATTGAAAAATATAAAAATAAGATAAAATATAACAAAATAAATAAATTCAGGACAGGATCGGGCAATTCAAGGTGAACTTGGTTCATTTTGACATGCCACCTCCATACATGATATGGCTTTTAATGGCCGAATATATATTTTTGGTACAGAATGTCACAAATTTAGGATATTCAGTTTGGCAAATTTATTGAGAACAACAGTTCAGAGCCAGACCAATTATTCCAAGGGCACTTATCTATGGGGAAAAAAAATACTTTTCCTTTTTCATTTTCTTATTGCTAAATATTTTTTCTTTATAACTTTTATATTATCTTTATTTTCATAAAGGATTATTTATATTAGTCTTCTCACAATAATCTGCCATCAACGAAGTCCTAGTGATATCAAGTTGAATTACAATTATTAAAGAATGATTGATTCTAAACATTATTTAAATTAATATAAACCAGGTA